AGTTTGTGGCTCCTTACCCAAGACCAGCGAGAGAAATGTATGATTTTAGGTTATTAAACTACTGAAACTTAGAAATACTAAAATGATGCTAAACACGTCAAGCTAAACTCATTTAGAAAAAAATGTCTAAAATTCTATTGTTTTGATGATTATGAGAAGGAAACCTAATTTTCAAAAACAAACTAAAAGAAGAAGCCTATAAAAAAAATACCAGACACTAAGGAAGAAATGATCTGTGGGAGATGAGTGAATGCTAATAGAAGAGAAACCACTGGGCAGGAAATGGCAGAAATGCTTCATCATGAGACCAGGGAACAGGAAGCTGCAGAGCATGGAGCAAGGCAGCCCTGCGCCTGACGTCATAGCTACCTTATACTTGCAAAGAGGCTTTGTGGTCTGTTCATTAAAATACTGTTTTGAATTTTGTCACAGAGTTTAGGGTGAGCTGTGGGCGCTTGCTGTAGAGTGCAGCTTCGGTCGTGTGTCAATAGAGTCATGATGCTAGAGTGTGTGGTTGAGAACTCTTAACCTGCTGGTGATTACCTTTTACCAGATTTGCCTTGGGTGGGAGTAGGTTTGGTGGGATTTATTCAGTGTTTTATGAACCATCTGGGAAGCTCAGCATAATAATGTGTTTTTATGTTAGTGTCTTTTCCCTCTTCTAGGTAAAGAGTAAGGAAGGTGAGCTTTTCAGAGAAGTCCCTTTTGCATTTAGGCCATGATTGTGGTACTTAAGTCCTACAATCTTTCCCCAACCCTTTTCCCAATTATGTGTGTTAATTATGACAAAAAAAACTATGAAAGGGAAAATTATTCATAAATAATAACCCTTTTGTATTATCCACTTAAACTTAGGTATTTTCACATCACTCAGGTAAAGTTGGAAATGACAGAGCACAGGCATCTATTTTTTAAATTGCTAGAGTAGAAAATGAGAAGCACTGTTTATGAATATGTAAATGCACATCGCCAGCTAATCAGAAACAATCTATTCATTTGTATGACAGAGTCACTCACAGTCATCCTAATGCTAGTTACCATTTTTGCCAAGTGGCACAAATATACCTCCAGTTATATTTTGTATCTTAAACATATAGGTGAAACCTAGGACTATGTATAACCGACACTTTTTATAAGAAGTGCCATATATACAAATATAACGGGTGTGTGTTCAATATGATTTATAACATTTCCTGTCAGTACAGCCTATACTGAAAATTCAAGTCATTTAAACATATTCAAGTGTGTTCAAGATAAAGTAAGACAGTCCAGTTTCATAATGTAAACCATATTTTTGTTATTGCCATGTTTTGTTTGAAATACTAATAACATAATTTAAATTTGAATGTTGTAGTACGTTGTATGCTAACCATGGCAAGGAAATATTCGCATTTTTTAAACAATGAATTTCTTTTTAAGATATACTTTCTATTTTTCTGTACTGACATGCAATAAATTGATACATGAAAAGTTTGATTAATGTCTTCAGATAGTTTGTATTCAGTCTTTTTAAAAACTTTGTTAATGTAAAGTCTATCAGGACATTAAGGTCTCCTCTAATGGTTAAATAAAATTCCTGAGTTTCACTGAAATGAACAAATGTGGATAAAAATATGCTTATGTTTATATTTTCTTCCAGGAATATGACCACCCCACATGCATTTACTTTAAGCTGATATCAGGAATACTTTCTATATATAAACAGTTGTTGAATGCCTAGACCCCAAACATTCCTTTAATTATATGAATGTTCTCTAACTGTGCATCATTGTCCTGTTGCCTTCAGACTTCATAAAGTGCTTTTCCAAAAAACCTGTCATGGTGGTTTTCCTCCTATTTGTATTTTAGATGGTTTCAGGTGATTAAAATGGTCTTATAGTCAGCCTTTCCAGATCTGTAACTTGCTTTCCCTAAAAAGACATTTCTGTACTTGAGTGGTATCAACCAAGTTGAATGATTGGAAGGGCATGGCAGTCCTTGAACCATCCTGAGAGGCAGTTGAAGTTGTTCTGGAGACCGTCTTGCTGTGAGCAGATGTTTTGGGAAGCAGGAGCTCATGTACCACCATGAAAGATCCCTAGCCTGGATCCCACAGTAGAGAAGATTTTGATCACTGTTCTTAACATTGCTGTTTCACTTTTCAGCTTTCTTCCTGTTGCATTCTAGAAAGTGTGGAGTTAGCTCTGCTATAACTTCTGGCTTACTGGGGGTGGGGCTGGGGGCGATATCTCTTCTGGGGTTAGAGAAGGTCACCTTTGAATACATTCGCCGTAAGGCCACGTGTCCACCATATCCGTGGGACTGAGTCCTCAGTGTAAGCCTTAGTGACAGTACATAGTCAAGGTTACCCAGAGGAGAGCCAGAGTTTTCCCGGATGTTACATTACAAATCTAGAATGCATTTGCTAAAATACTCAATGAACAGTTTGAAAAATTCATATTGGAATAGATATGAAATATTGGAATCAAAAGTGGAAAAACTCAAGATCACTCCTGAAGAATTCCCAGGAATTGCAATTTAGAAGTGTGTGGCAAAGCTACATGCCTGTCTTCCTGCAGAGGAACCCAGCATACTCTAACCTCTTGCTTTTCTGAGCTACTTACAAAGAACCAAGGCTGGAAGGCTGGCAGTCTCTTTTAAGGTGGTTCCTGACACTTGGAAAGCATCTTGCTGCTGCCTTTCCCAGCTCAAATGCTGCTGTACCAGCCCTGGAATCGTGACAGCTATACCTCGATAGCTCATGTACCAGTATTTTTCTCACTCCATTTAATGATTCATTCTTCAAATCTAGAGTCTACAACCCACTGTGAACCTTTCAGTTCCACCCTTCTCTGTGGGTGTTCAGGGCTGCAGCTCAGTAGATCGAAGGCAGCCTTTGCCGTCTGTAGAATCCTTCATAAACAGCTTCCCTTGTTGCAAACTGGATCTTCTCATTCATGAATTAGGCCCATTCCTCCTCTCTGACTCCCATCTTGTGTGTTACCTGTAAATGCCTCTGACTCCCTGACTCAAATTTG